GACAGTTGCATATTTCGTTCATACTTCTCGCAATTGCAGTTAAATTTTAAATCTACATCTATACACTGATGGTTCAAAAGATAATGGTAAGGTTGCCGCGGCCATGGTTACACAAGGTGAAGCCCATGGATGCTGGCTACCGAACCACGCCTCACCATTCTCGGCGGAGTAATGAGAGCTGTTATCTTTTCAGACTCTTTTTCTGTACTACAAAGTCTTAGCAAAATATTTTCATTCGTAATACATTGATATTATCATGAACTTACCTTAATATTGGTTTTTGCTAGGTTCCTGGGCACATGTGAATATCAGACAATGAAAAAGCAGATCGTGCCGCAAAGGAAGCTTTATCACTACCACCTGTTGTTTTTAAACTTCATTTTACTGATTTTAAACCATTTATCAAACAATTGTTTTAGCTCAGTGGCAGGATGAATAAAATCAATATACCAATGATAAACTGCACTCAGTAAAACCTATCACGAGTAAATTGTCTCCATGCTATAGGGACAACCACCGAGAAGAAGTTGTCCTTGCCCGTCTTTGGATGGGCCATACATTACACATTCATATATGTTGGACTATATGTCGGCCAGCGTAGGCGCTAAGCAGTTCTCAGGTACGTTGGGTAACTTGTGCTAAGCATGCACTTACAAGGTATTTTGTGGGAAACCCTAAGTGGGACGGGACAGTACCAGACAGAACTCCAACACTGGAGGTTGTGTTGTCCAGGGCTCGTCACCATGGATGTAGGAAGTATTGTTGGGAGAGCTGTGTGCCTAATTCCAGGAATTAATATGTTGGGAGACTAGAGACTGGTTCTTGTTGGTATGACATGTTATTACCTGGGTGCTAATGATGGCTGTGTGCCTGTAAACTTATTATTTTCCAAGCTGTGTGCTTCGAAGCTGTGTGGGCTGTGTGCCATGTTGACTGTCTAGAACTGTGTGTCCGTGAGACGTTTAGGACTGTGTCCATGAAACTGTAGCGGGTTCGTTTAGGACTGTGTGTCCGGAGACTGTAGTTGTGGGACTGTGTGTCGGAGAGGCTGTGTGCCATATTTCTGAGAATCAGGACTGTGTGTCCGAGAGGCTGCGTGCCATGTTTCTGAGAACCATGACTGTGTCCAGGGTGTTCGGGATGAAGCTACCTATATGTTACCCCGAAAATACTGAGGTCTTCATTAGAAGTTTGTGACCAGAATCAGGACATTGATGAAGGTGTTATAACCATGAACGTACAACAAGAGACTGTAATATTTATTTAGAGATAATTTCTCAGGTTTTAGTATATGGTATGATTACTAAAGGGTGCTTCCGTATCGTTAGTGTAAGAGGAAAGTATGAGTGTGGTAAGGTAAAGTGGTGTTTTGTGTTCTTCATAGGGTTCTGTTTATTTTGTTTGGATTGTAAATAAATGTATATAAGTTTTGGTTTGCTGGTTGTTAATTCGGACGAGCCAATTTCCCACATTCATTGACATATATAAACAAATTTGTGATGTTTGTCTTGTAGGGAAATACCTTGTGTAAGAAATGAATATTCTTAAAGCCAGAATATTATCATTTCTATCGAGAAAATGAACAAAACATAATTTCTAACAACATTTACTATTTGGCTACCAGAGTCCCAGAAATCTGGTTGTTAAGTTGCAAGTTTTTGATTTCTTAAATACCAACAGGAAATAGGGCATTACTTACTGGTATAAATGTTGTGTAAACCAAGGCTGTGATATATTGATGAAAGGTTATCATTCTACCCAGGATTTCCCGAGATAAATGGAAAGGTCGCCGGGCTACGTTAATCAATAATTGTTGTACAGGCAAATATTTTAGACCATCGTTATTTTAAAACTAAAGGATGTTAAAAATGCCGAAGGGTACATAGTATTATGTTACTTTCGCTAATAAATGTCTCGCATAAAAATCAAGATATTGACCTATTCTAAAGTATAGAAGAATTTTGTCAATATAAAACAATTCTGGTAGAATTATAGTAATGGGTGATTTTATTAAGAGCACATGCGAGATACAAAACAATTATAATTAAAGAATATGCGAGACAATAATAATAATAATAATAATTTCGTTCTATTGGTAAATTCAAAGGACACGTTCCATTAATCAAAGTTAATAATATACCAGAGATAGGCCAAAATGATCGAATACAGATAATGTTTTTAATCAATTTTGTAGACAACTTCTGGAAGTTTGTAAAAGCAATTGGACTTCGAATTGTAGACGTGACGATGATGTTAAGTGAAAATTACATGCTGTAACAGAACTGGTTTTAGCTTAATCAATTATTTATCAAGTTTGATATTACTCTGTGGTTTGATCACGCGCCTGTGATTCTTACAATAGATAAAAGTAATAAAATGGAGGCGAATGTTCTGATTCAAAGTAATATTAGCAGTACTAAAATTTGAACAACTGAAAGTGGAATTGGAAAAAAAACCCCAAAAAACAAAACAAAACAAAAAACAAAAATATTTGCATAAAAACATAAATTACATAACAATATTGATATCTTATTGGAAATAGGTAACATCACACAGAACGACCAGGATAACATTAATACGGGTATTGATAATTTAACCAATTTACTAAATGAACTGTTTGACCCATTGTGACAAAATAGCTGTACAATTAAGATAATTATTTTAACATAATTAATTGGTAGTAATTAGTGTTAGTTAATAATATATCTTTGTGGTGGAGGGATTATATTGATTATATTTTCTTCACATATTGGAACATGTTTTAGATAGAAGTTCAATGTACTGATACAGTTAAGTAGAGAGAAGGATAATTATATCAAATATAGATTCTCTAAATTCCAAATAGACTTTCACATGCATCAATCTCAATATTGGGTTGAGAGGTTTGATAGTTTTAACAGTGGTGTAGTCTATCTATCTCTCCTATAGTATTGGTCACTGGCAGGGTAATAAGGTGAAATTTGAATTTATTAATTATATTCTCGAGTCCGCAAGTTTGAGCGGGGTGTTTGTAGTCATTCATGGAGATTGATGGTCAATAATTGCATCAATTAGGTACCGATGGTCAATAATTGCAACAATTAGATACATGTTCTTGTATCTGTTCTAACGATGTTTTTGGGGATATAAGGTAGGCAGACTAGGGTCTGGGTTTTTTGGGGAGGGTAGGACTCTCAGAGGGTACAGTTCGAGAGCGGGAAGAGCTGACCGGACGCTCTCGAGGAGCAGGGCCTGAGAGTGAGGCGTACATGATGTATGGAACATGTACAGCGACATGACTTGTAAGATAATAAACACTATACGATCACTTGAATTAACTCGTTAATGTTGTCTGTTTTGTGCAACACCATATTGTTCACAAACATTGAGTAAAAGCTATACATACAGTAGACCAAAATCTACAAAGGGAGATAAGACATGGTTTATCTACAACTGCAGACAGTGGTATAGAGAATACAAGGACATTCTACATCGTTTCAACACGTGTAAATCTGACCTTAATAGACAACGTCTTTCTACTAAAAATCAACGTATAAGAAACTTGTGATGTCGAGTGAGTCCAAAGAAATACAAACTAAACGCCTTTAATGAGTTCTTTTATTACATATACAAAGTTCCTAGTTCCTATAGCCATAGTTCACAATAATCACAAACACAGTGTAGGGGTTCTTGGTTGCACCTAGCTTGCGCCCCAACCTGCGGTAAAAAAATGAAAAATACAGAAATTAACCTGTCCTTAGTACATATTTCAACAAAAGTAATAAACTTCAAACGTTTAAACCGTATTAAAGTTACCTCATGGGTCACCTAAGCCTTGCTAAATCCGCAAGTCTGTTTCCTTTGGACTTTCACGTAAACATATCCCATGATGCATTTTTCCACGATGTACAAAGAATGAACTCTGAACCCTGACCTGACTACCAGAGCAGACGGACAATATAAAACTAGCGTTTCACTACATTCCTCGCCTGATTGCTAAATCACTACTACATTTAAACCCTGTAAACATTCATATTATTTATAACCCGATGAAAATATATAATATCAAAACTTATCTGAATAACAATAAACTAAAGTTTCTAAGCAATAAAATTCACTTGTCGCTGTCAATGTTCAACACAATAATTCACTCTGCCATCAATAGTACTAACTGAGTAATAAGACGGATATACGAAACCGATCGTCCATTACGAATTGTCTTAACTCTGACTTTACTAACAAGACCATCGTGACTAGGGAAAACACATTCAACAATTCCCATTGGCCAGTCATTACGATGAGAGTCATGATCCTTCAGCAAAACAATGTCACCTTGTTTCAAGTTTGAACGTTCGTGATTCCACTTTTGTCGCGTTTGTAGCGATTGTAGATAGTCTCTTCTCCACGCGTTCCAAAATGTCTGGGCCAATACCTGAACACATCGCCATTGGGATCGAAACATGTCTTTCACTGAGAAGTCTACCAAGGTTAGATCTACATTTGGAACGTCAGTCTTTTGCGTAATGAGAGTACTTGGCGACAATACCACTGGGTTTTCAGGGTCGTCAGATACGGGTACCAGTGGTCGCTGGTTTACTATAGCACATGCTTCGGCTAGAAAAGTCGTAAGCACTTCATGCGTGAGGTGTTTAGTGTCAGTATTACGCAACATGTTGTCCAGAATCCTTCTAACGGTACCAATAGGCCGTTCCCAAGATCCGCCCATATGGGAGGCATATGGAGGATTAAAAGTCCATGTGATGCTTTCCTCTGAAAGAAAGTCTTTCACGGCTTTGTCCTCGACGTCAATAACATTCAAGTTAAGTTCCTTAACGGCTCCTACGAAGTTAGATCCTTTGTCCGACCTAATGTGCTTTACCGGTCCTCTGATCGCGATGAATCTCCGCAGTGCGTTAATGAAGGAAGATGTGCTCATCTCCTCTACGACCTCAATATGTATCCCTCTCGATACCATGCAACAGAATATTATAGCCCAACGTTTTGCGTTAGCTTGTCCTCCCCTAGTTTTTCTCGTGATAATGTCTCACGATTAGAGTAGCCACGTGATGTTTTGCTGGGACAATGATCGGATCCTTTCCAGGTAAGTCAATGTCACTATTCTGAATCCTACCACCAATCCTCAGGAGCCCCTCGTCGTCTAGAAACGGCGACAATTTCAACAAAGAATTGTTCCTGTTTAACGGCAGTCCTTTCTGTAAACAGTCGATTTCCATCGAATAAAACTCTTGTTGAACAACCTTCAGTATGAGGTTCTTTGAATCGCTAGCAAAACGCAACACGTCTGGATTGTCTGTTCCGTTGTGATGACGATGCGCGACTTGTTTCAGTAAGGTTATTGCACTAACCAACCTAGTCCATGACGAAAATCTCGCGAAACGGTCAGGATCGAGAGCGAAGTCCTTCCGAACGTGAGTTTTCATGACATTTGTTTCGTTGATGAACGTTATTTCACCGTCGTCGTTACCGATCAACGGAAATACTTGGTCTCTATACGAACTTTGCAAATCACTCATGACGTCAACGGGTCCGTTCAACCACACTGACTTTCCAACGTCTTTCGCACGCATTGGCCTAGTCGCACTATCGGCAGGGTTACATTCACTAGAAACGAAACTCCACTGCTGTTTGGAAGATAACTTCAGAATCTTGTCAATCCGATTAGCAACATAAACGAAGAAACGGCGCGTGTCGTTAAATATATACCCTAGTACTACCTGACTGTCGGTATAGTAGTAGGTGGCGTCAAACACAACATCGATGTGTTCGGATATAAATAAACCGAGTTCAGTAGCCAGAACAGCCGCGCATAGTTCTAGTCTTGGAATGGTATGTCCGTGGGAAGGCGCTACTTTCGATTTGCCAAGAACGTATGCAACAGAAGCATTTTCCTGTACGTCATAAATTTTCATGTATGTTACTGCGCCTATGGCATCCTTTGACGCGTCTGAGAATACGTGTAGTTCACGACGAATTGCCTTTTCCAATGACGAATTGGAGTAACATCTCGAAATTTCTAACTGTTCCAGATCTTTAAGCGAAGACCTCCATTTTTTCCAATCAGAGTTCAAGTCCGGAGGTAAAGGGTCATCCCAGTCAAGATCTTTTGACGATAACACATTTCGCATTAATAGTCTGCCTCCGAGAATAACTGGTGCCACAAAGCCGAGGGGGTCGAATACACTATGTATTGTAGAAAGTACACCTCGTTTGGTGAACGGTTTCACCTCATCAAAAACACTAAACGTGAACTTATCACAACCGACTTTCCAACATAGTCCGAGACTCCTATGAACGATATCATCGAAGTCCATATCGCAAATTTCGCTGGTATCCTCTTTTGGAAACTGCTTTAAAACATCAACACTGTTCGACGAGAACTTGTGCAAGTGAATGTTTCCGTTTTGCCGTAATCGAGCTTGAGTGTCTCTCAACAACTGCACTGCGTGACCTTCGTCAGATACAGAGGTCAACCCATCGTCAACGTAGAAGCTCTCTTTGACGAAACAACACACCTCGTCGCACGCGGAAGAATCGATATGGTCGCAAGCAGATTTCCTTAATCCAAGTGTGGCAATACACGGAGAAGACGAGTTGCCAATCACATGCACGCACATACGAAATTCCCTTAGCGGTTGTGTGGGATCATTATCTTGAAACCATAAGAAACGTAGAAAGTTTCTGTCACGCTTGTGCACATAGAAGTTGAAGAACATTTGTTCAACATCGGCCATAATCGCAATTCGTTCCTTCCTGAATTTCATTAACACACCAACCAAATTGTTTATGAGATCCGGACCTGTCATGAGAATGTCGTTAAGCGAATGTCCATTAAACTTTGCCGCCGAATCGAACACGACTCGGATTTTGTTGGGTTTTTGGGGATGATAAACCCCGAATATCGGTAGATACCATGCTTCCTCGCCATCTTGTAACTCGGGAGCTACCTCTGCATGCTCCTTGTCAAAAATGTTTTGCATAAACGCACAAAACTGTTCGCGCTCAGTAGGATTTTTCAGTAACGACTTTCGTAGATTTTCTGCGCGATGCCTTGCCTGATCCATATTGTTTGACAAAGTAGGTCGTTCCTTTTTTAGCGGTAACGGTGCACTCCAATTACCGTACTCGTCCTTAATAAACTCCCCTTCCATGACACGCATGAATTCCTTATCCTGTTGCGAGTAACCAGGAATATCATCGAATTTTGTTCTTTGAAATATGTCCATTCCAATTGGCAACTTATCGGATTTTTCAAACTGAGCCTTGAAGTAATTCGGACACGGATCCATGAGAGTAGGTCTGCCATCCGGTAAAACGACCGTTTTGCTCACAGTTATGACCGTAGGTTTGTGAACGAGACCTAGGCACGATTCTCCTACAACTACCCAACAGAATTTTAATTTCTGTGCATATGGTTCACGTTCATGTCCAGTTCGCTGTTCCAACACATGATTCGCCGAAATGAGATCTCTGCCAACGAGAAGCAATATGGGCGTATCGTTTTCATACTCTGGGATAAGATGAGCAATGTCCTGCATGTGACTATAGTGTCGTGCAACTTCCGGTGTAGGTATTTCCTGTTTCACATTCGGAATATAATTGCATTCTGTAATCAACGGTAATTTTAATGAGTATTCCTTGTCCAATGATTCCATTACGTATCCGCTGCCTTGCCTCCCGGTTACCTGAATTTCACCGGCACATGATGAAAGTACGTATCCGGTTTCCGTAGAATGATCTCCAAAATAATCGAAGAACTCACTTTTGGCCAATGTCCGATTGCTCTGCTCATCTATAATGGCATAAGCACGCAACACATTATTAAGTTGTCCGTCCTTGTAGATATTTACTAACACCGTTTTTGAACACGATTTCCCCACGAAGGGACCGGTTTCACCGCACAACTGTGTACACTTGGAATTTATCTTAAGATTGTCTCCCCTGATACTTGTCCTTTCCTCGCCGTGAGACTGACGGGGCTGATATTTGTCATCATGAAACATGGTGCAATGCGATGAACCTTTACACACAGTACAGATTACTTTTTCTGTACAGTCTTTGGCCAAATGTTTGTCCTTACAACACTTAAAGCACACGCCGTGTTTTAAGAGAATTTCCCTCTTTTCGTCCTTGGATTTCGATAGAAACAGGTGGCAACCTGATAACAAATGCTTCACTTCTCTCGCACTGTCATGAAGTGGGCACAAAAATGCTGTAGGCACATTATTAACTTCCGTTTTCTTTGAAAAGACGTATGCATTCCTACTTCCAGTAGACGGAGTACGACGTTGTTCTTTGTTGACGCTAGGTACCGCAGTACCATCGGTGTAATTGAAACTCGGGTTGTTCATTCGCGAGCTCATTTCCTGTATGAACCTCTCGAAAACACTGAATTTCGGATATGTAACATTGTGCTCGGTTTGATATCTGCACGCATAGTCAGTCCAGTTGTTCTGTATGAACACGGGTAACTTGCAAACAATTGGGTTTATTCCGCTGGACGAATCGTAGTGCGCCATTATCGAGCTGAACGCCGTGTTTTCCTTAACTGCCTGAATTTCCGCCAATATGTTCGAAAGATCAAATAATTTCTGACCATCTCGGTTCGTTAATTTCGGGAATTTGTTTAGCCTTTCCCTCAAAGATAACTCAATTTGGTCGGGCGCGCCGTACTTCTCACTGAGCCTAGTCCAGATTTTGCACAAGGCTTGGGGTGGGTCGTGTATGTTTGCAGCACGTAGACTTACACTTACAGCCTGTTTTCGAGATTCTGGCCCCAACCATTTCGATAATAAGTCTAATTGTTCTTGAGGGCTTACATCAAGTTCCTTTACAACATTTAGGAATGACATTTTCCAGACACGATACTCCTCGGGTTTATCAGTAAACTGAGTGAGTCTACCCATAAGCAAGTCTTTCTTTAGCATAAATTTGGTCAAATCAGTCAGTCCAGTTACACACTGACCTGGGGTGAATTCTCGAGCCTCAACGTTTACCGGCACTTTATGTGAATAGGGGTCGGATGTTTCATAACCGGTGTTCAAATTTTCGGCTTGACTTTGCACAAATTCAACTGTCCTAGACTTCCTGTGTAACTCCTCATCATCCGACGGTGCTTGTGAACAATGTCTGATAGGGCTACCAGTGTCGATAACGTCATCCATAGCCTTAAGCTCGGCTGCTGCCTCGTCCAGTTCTCTTTGTGATTTTAACAGCTGAAGGGATTTTTGCAATTCGGCCTCTTTCTCAGCAAATTTTAGCCTCACTTTGGCCGCTTTCAATTTCGCTCGTTGTTTCATATATACTGAACTGACCCTGGAGATGTTAGTTATGCTAGAACGCACTGAGGTTTTACTTGTTTTCGACTTTATTGACATAATATCCGAAACGCCGTTTTTATATCCACTTACACTATGCCGAGGTTTTTCCTCGACTACAAACCCCTGTGAAATGTTATCGACCACAGATACAGTTTGAACTGGGTTTATTTTGTCAATAAATGATTGAATTTGGTCCAAAACCGTGTCACACTGGGATTTTAATGTTTCCACAGCTGTCATATGAAATAATAATTCTTCCTGGCCTTGTTCCGTTCTACTTTCTTCCAAATATTTACTGAATTTGGTTGAAACTTGTTCATAGGATTCATATGATTGGGTAATGTCTGATGCCAAAGATTTTAATTCATCCAAGTTCATATTTTCATACTCAATATCAGTTATGAGACAATCTAAATTTCTGTATAAATTTAACAGTCTATGTTTATATTTGCCGACTGTGTCCTCAAATGCCTGACGTGCCTTTTCCGTCATTTTGTTGGTTCTTTTTCCCGGGTTTTCAGCCATGAGTTTTTTTACTGTGATGTCGAGTGAGTCCAAAGAAATACAAACTAAACGCCTTTAATGAGTTCCTTTATTACATATACAAAGTTCCTAGTTCCTATAGCCATAGTTCACAATAATCACAAACACAGTGTAGGGCTTCTTGGTTGCACCTAGCTTGCGCCCCAACCTGCGGTAAAAAAATGAAAAATACAGAAATTAACCTGTCCTTAGTACATATTTCAACAAAATTAATAAACTTCAAACGTTTAAACCGTATTAAAGTTACCTCATGGGTCACCTAAGCCTTGCTAAATCCGCAAGTCTGTTTCCTTTGGACTTTCACGTAAACATATCCCATGATGCATTTTTCCACGATGTACAAAGAATGAACTCTGAACCCTGACCTGACTACCAGAGCAGACGGACAATATAAAACTAGCGTTTCACTACAAAACTAGAATATAAGTTTAAACGAGAATACAAATATGAAAAAGGAGATAAAATAAATAATTATTTTCAATGTATATTTTAAACAATAAATGTAAACGCCGATTAAAATACATCAGATTTTGAACTGTATTTCAGGTTTGTCAACCACTGATAAATACATTATGATGTCAGTTTTGTTTGTCTTTGATTTAATGTGTTAGATGTTGATCTAGGTAAAAAAATCGGCGAGGTTATTACAATTTCACTACAGCTTGTGGACACACTAGTTTTATTAATGAGTAACTCATGTATTATACAGAGATCTTAATGCCATGTTTATTACCACTATCTCTTACTCTGGACAGCCAAATCCAGGGTATTTACCGGTGTGGGATTAATACAATCTTCATCCTCTTTAAGGTAAGACGGAGGATCAAAGAAAGGATACTATAACAGAGATGACTTTGTTCAACGTGAAAATATCAAAAGAGTAATAAAATCTAATTCGTCAGTCAAGTATAAGGAGTGACGAGATGAGTGAAGCAAAACAGGAAAGACAAACATTTGATAGGAATATACACGCTGTGCAAAGAGAAAGTGTTTCATTAAGTGTGCACGCAATTTTGAATGTCTCACGTCAGAACCATTGTTGCAACCGGGGACTTGGTGTTTCTTAAACATACCTTGTTAGTAATAAGTTGTGGATTACGATGAGTTTCAATTTCGATAATAATATACTGTTTTCAGTTTAGAGAATATCACTAGATTTCCGTTGTAGACGACCTAATGTGATGTGTGTAACCTCATAAACTGTCCTAGTGTCGGGGGACACATTTCCTAAGACTATCCTGTGACTGTTTTAGATAAACATTGTCAAAGATTGTCAGGAGACACATTACCTAAGACTGTCAGTGTTACACAATATCGACACGTCTTTTTGTTTTTTATTTTGTAGTGTTTATTATTTCCATTGCATTGTGTATATGTTCCTTGGCTACACAGCCCTCATAGGAACATAATGTCTGCTTTTTCTACCGCTCGATCACTGTCGATATTCGTTCCTCGAGTGTCCCTTCCAAACACCTCCCTCAGACACAAGTCTGGCTATTCTATATCCGAAAATAAATCGACAACGTGAGAACAGAGAGAAAACACGTGGCTGTTACAATTATTAATCTCTTGTTGAGCATAAATTATTAACGTTCACATGAAATCGCAGAAGTAATATATAATAAACAATTAAATCGTTGAAATCATTAACTTGTCGCTGTTGACCACTGTAAGAGAGATAGAAAGCTTCTCTCACCAATTAGATGTCAACGATCTCCACGGACTATTAGGATTAATAATTGCGATTAATGATTGCAGGTGTCCATTCCGAAATAATTTATTCAGAATTTAATTGGAGGATAATTTAGAATGCAATTAGCCTTCTCTCTGTTCCACTCTATACATGCTTGGTTAATTTACATATATAAACAATCATAAGCATATATATAATACATTCCCACAACCAAAACATACTATTTAATACTAACAATTATTGATTGTCACAGTCATCAGTGATGAGAGAAGTTAAAGGTTACTCTCTAATCGTCAGCTTGTAATAGGAAGGCGAATAACTGAGTTATGGAACCAGGAGAGAAGGTGCTGGTTTTGTTACCGACGAAACGGAACAAACTCCAGATGCAGTGGCGGGGACCTTGAGGCATCACAGAGCTGAAGGGTCCAATGGATTATGTGGTGTCAGTTGATGACAAAGAGAAATTTTTTTCATGCAAACTTGCTGCGTTGGTATGTCCACAGGGAAATGCCAGGGTCGTGTGAGGCTGGCGTTCTGAAAAGTGTTTGTTCATCTTTGATAGAGAATAATGACGATGATGATGTTGAAGGTGACTTACGGAACACCGATTGTTTCAACGCACCGACTCCTGTAAAGACCGAAAGTGTAGACGATGTATAAGTATGAGAACTACTGTCAATCCAACAATAACAAAGGCGTTAAGACCTTGATGGCTGAATTCTCAGACATGTTATAAGATGTACATGGAAACAAATCTGGTAGCGTATGCAGTCCGGACAACGAACAACGAACCAGTGACGGCTAATAACAACCCGATTCCCCACAACATGAAAGACATCATTCGAGAGGAAGTCGAGAAGATGCTTCAGACGGGTGTTATTGAGAAGTCCGATTCGCTATACGCATTATTGTTAGGAAAAAATACGGCATAAACCGCTTTTGCATTGATTTTAGGCAATTAAACAGAGCGACCATCTTTGATGCAGAACCAATATCGGACGCGAACGATATATTTGCCCGACTGTCAGGAAACACATTTTTCTCACGCTTAGATCTCGGCAAAGGGTATTGGCATGTCCCTATGGAGGAATCATCGATACATAAAACAGCTTTTACAACACATGTTGGTTTAATTTCTGTTTTCTCTTTGGCAACATTGGAGTAACTTTCATGTGAACTCTTTGTACCCTTACAAACAAAACCTAACAATGATATTTATTGTCTGTCGGTTCTCATCGGGTTAGTATAATTCCTCAAATTAAATTGTTTGTCTTTTTTTGTATCAAGTTTACTTTTATAACGTAAATCAGGATGTTTCAGTTTGGACAAATGCATTTTTTAAAAAGTCATGCCATTTGGAATTGATTTGGTTATTGTTGTAAATTCCAGCTTTCATAGACACGTGTTGGAATGGATCAGTAAGACGATACGTATCTGTGTCGACCAAACGTAATCTTTCTGTTACTTTGGTGATTATAATGACACGGTTGACAAGTGTCATAAATAAGTATCCCATCAACCACTAACTCGATACTGTAATGGACCAATATTATGGAAATACTGTATTTAAAATGTGACATTTCAGCATTAGAATTGTTGATATCTCATTGTTATACTTGTATATAAAAGAGTTGACAGAGGAAAAGGACCATTGCAGTAGGAAAGCCTGTGTGTAAACCTCAACACCACTGCAGCGTTCTAACAACTTGACTTTCTAAGGTAAAGGATTTTGATTTGTTTTTCATTTTGAACACAATATTGTTTTAAAAATATTTCATTGTTACCAACAATAAATGTTTTGAAAGTTCTTACATGTTTGCATGGTATATAAAATATTTATTAAAAAAATAGTGAATATTTCTTTGATAAGATCTATTAAATTTATTTTTTAAAAATCAGCGTTGAATGATACTTTGAACCCATTAATAGTATAGAGAACTCTGATTTTAACATTTTATTAACATTTTTCCTGTTTAAGACAAATTCACAGATATATGTTTTAAGTTTTCCTTTTGAAATGCTGATACGTGGTTATAGCGAGTGTCACATTATCTGTGAGGTATACATATCGAAAAAGACAAGTTTACATTACTTACGTTATTGAACGTTAAAATGTATTGTCTTAACAAGTAGCATTTGGCATGGTTATGTAATTGTGTATACTCAGTTTCTATGAGTGTGATATTTGAAATGCATTTAAAAAAATGAAAATACATATTCTTTACATCTGTGACATTTTAACCTTTGATCTTAATTCCAAATTAAAACGGCAGCTTAAACAAACTCTACTGTAAGATGTTAAATCTTAACATCAGTCGTCACATTTGTCATACGTTTGTTCAGAACCAGCGTAAATCATTGACACATTCAAACATCTTATACTTTAATTTGAGTTATGAGGATAAAATATTACTGATTTAAAGTGAAACAAATCCTGACACAAGTTATTGTCTAGGATATTTGGATAAACAAATCCTATTGAATTTAACCATTGAACGCCAGTCATATTGTTAGGCCGTCATAATTATTTATCTGGCACCCAGGTTACTTTTATATTGACAATAAATGCAATATGACCGACGTTCAAAGGCTATTTACATTGCAGATACAAAACATAACTGTTTGTCTTTTCCTGATTTAAAATTGTTTTCCTCGCTGAATGTTTACACACTGGGAAGCATTTTGAAAATCATAAGCAGCTAATTGATTAACGTAAAGCTATGAAGCGTGTTATCTGAGGCGAGGTGCAAAGCGTTGGCGTGACGTGATCTAGACTGTATTTATACTCCTGTGAATACAATCCAGATTTACAATGAGTAAATGGGAGACCATTATGTAAAATATGTATATGATATTTTAAGTCATATAGGTAATTGACTAACTCTGGAATCAAAGAAAGGCCATTACATTCGATAAAATAATCACTTAGGTGCATTCTTACATGGACAGCTGATCATAATATAATTTAGGTCAGATTTACAATGTATGATGATTATCAGTGAAGTTTTAGGCAGATTTGTATAAAGTAGAATTTTCCATTCAATGCTGCTGAAATGATAATTCGTTGTGTTATGCACCTGGATGTTTCGATAGTGTGACACAGAAAAAAATCAAGCGCTAGGTTTTAGCGGAATACCGATCTTATTCAGTGACATTAATTGTTCTGTTCTTTTCTTGTTCTCGTTTATTTTGTGTTTAGCTTGGATCCTAGGAATGTGTTAATTTTCTCTTATTGTTTTGAGAGGTTCTGTAGGGTCTGCCATCAAAGCGGAGAAATGAAACAGAAATACAGGCACTATATAACAAACCTATGTTGTCAATATGTTCAGGGTTTTGTTTTTCTGTGATTAACAATTAATAAGTATTTGGTGTAAGGGAATGTGTCATTTTCTTAATTTTCATCTTTCATTTGGTTTTTTTTTGTTCAATGAATGAGCTTATGTTTCTTTAATTAT